CTTCCCAAGCAGCTCTTACATTTTATTAGTCAGGTAGCAAAAAAGAGTCTGTTTGGAGCAGATTTCTGTTTGCTCCAGCTATTTCCAAAATAGAAATCTGCACGTGAACTGTGCCAGCTTTGAAGACTGGGTATTATATTTGCTTTGTTTTGTGTAACCTTCTCCCTCTTACAAACACATCAGTTGGACTCCATCCTCCTCTACTCCCTCCACTCATTCTTTCTCAGTGTTTGACTGTGCTTTGGGCACTTTACCCATGTGCTCCCTCCCTTTTATTCTCCTTCTGCTTTTATTTCTGGTAATGCAAGAAGATATTAAGTTTGTATTCATGACTTTATGTATAAAGCACTAAATGGTAACATCTTTATCATTTTTGCCAATATAAATTTTAACTATTCTCATGCCCTCATATGGGGCAGGAATTGGTTCTTAAACCACTACCTTTTTTTAAGTTATAGATTCTTCTTTCTCCCTCACAACTGACTTCAACTCAGGACACCTACCCATTACTGCTCAAAAAATTTCATAATTATTTCAATTTTATTTAGTCCATTTGAAAGGAAAAGTTTGGTGGTGTACAAAGAAGAGTAGGACATAACACTATACATAATTGAAATGTGTTAGAAATGTATATAAAAAGTCTAAAAATACGTGATTGTACTTGCTAAACACATCATTCCAGTTTTAGAACAATTCACTAATACTAAACATTGATTATTATTTTAAACTACTTTTTAATTATGGATTTATTTTTATGGAATTATAGCGTAACCTGAATTGAAAGGGACCCACAAGAATCATGGAAGCCCAGCTCCTGGCCCTGCACAAGTCATGCCAAGAGTCACACCATGTGCCTAAAAGTGTTGTCCAAACACTTCTTGAGCTCTGTCAGGTTGGTGCTGTGGCCGCATCACTGGGGAGCCTGTTCCAGTGCTCAGCCTCTCTCTGGGTGATGAACATTTTTCTGATCACCAAACTAAATCTTCCCTGAGGTTTTGCCTCTAGGTTGGGGTGTGTATCATTTATCAAATAGGCAATGAATTAAATAGAAGAGGGGACTGTAAAACTGACATGTTTATATTAACAACTGTGTCTGCAATGAAAAGAAAGTAAACCTTTCAAACCTAAATACCAATTGTTTTCAAATGTTAATGAATGAAGTCAACATTCTACACTGCATTTCCACCAATGCTGTAATTTCAGGTTTTTTAAGTAACCAGGAGTAGTTTTTCCACTTACACAGCTGTGGCACCAGTTCTGATGTTTCTTTTCTTTCAAATCCTCCTGGAATGTGTCAAATTTGGGGGGAGGACTATACTGACAGAGCTGTTTCAGGACCTCTTCTAGCTCCTATACTTTTACAGTTGTCAAGGTGTTCCCAAGAACATCAAACTCATTGTCAGACTGCTGTTCATCAAAAATTCAAGAAAAATGAAGGGTCAACCTATAACACAACCTACAACAAGTCCATAAGGTCAAAGCTCTCATGTTAGTAGCAGATGGACAGGGACTTTCATGGTTGTCGTTGGCATCTGACACTTTGAGGTTTTAACATTTTTTCAATAACATGCTTCAAGAGTTACTTCCACAAAGACCCCACTTTTAATCAACCACTGGTAAGAGCAGAGCTTAGATCTTCAATGAAGGCACTTGTCAGCAAACTGCATAAGGGAACAGCTTTAATTACTTCAACTCTGTCCGAATAGAACTCTTCTATTGCAGAACTTATTGCAGACAATGTTGCTTCTTTGAAGTATTTTTGTAAAACTGGAGGGTGGTGAGGGTTTTTCTATTTTCAGCCCTCCTCACAGGTTACCTTTTTTCCATGTAGTTCAGTGAAATTTACTGAGCCATAATCCTCTCTGTTTTCGTGTATGGCTTGGAAGGGGAAAGAAAGGACTGAAAAATAAAAAAAAAAAAAAAAAAGAAAAAAGAGAAGGAACACTTGAAAGTGCAGGAACTTTGATGAAATGAAGATTCAAAATTTCTCAGAGGATGTGGGATCAGCTTGAGTAATAAAGTCACACATAAATCCAAGCCAGTGAGAGACACTATCATTTGCTTCTTGACTCAGGGTCAGGAGCTGCTCATCTTGTAAGAAGTTTTCAAAAAGATTCAAATATGTACAATTCAGATAAGAATGTTGCCCTTTTTATTTACATTTCTATTGATATTTAAGTTGTATTTATACAGACATTTTAGATGCTTACTCTTGATTACCTAAAATAGAGAGGCTTAGAAATTGCGTATAAGAGGCAAGTATGTCTCAAACACGTCATAAGGCTATTTTTAGTTTCACATAAAGCTATCCATCTACAAAGGCAGATATTAAATGATTGAACAGTGATCTCTATAAAAATTTCTACTATTCTTCCATGGGTATAATTAACTTTCCTTTTGTATTTTTAGTATTCTATGTGTAAATGAGTGCAATATCACAGGAATGCAACAATTGTTATCTGCAAGTAATTAAAGGGGGCTTCACTGGCTAATGCTTTATTTTCAGGATACTGTAGGATATCCCAAATCCTGTATCCACAAAATGGTGCATACTTTTAAAGTGGGATCACAAAGTGAGTTAATAATTCATATTTTACAATATTTACTGCATAAAAGGGGTCATGCTACACTTTTCCCATTCACAAGCTCTGGACCCAGACTTTCCAACCCTTTATTTATCAAAAATGAAATATTATGCTAACCATGACCTTTTAACAACAGCCTATTCACAGTGGCCAAAGGTTTTTATTGCTGACCTATTAACCTATTATAAAACAATAATTTCCCTGGGTAGTCTTTTTTTTTTTTTTTAAGGAGAAGCAAAATAAAACCACAAAGATTAAAAGAATAAGGATTAAAACTCCCTGAAACATTCACCAAACACAGAATTTCTTCTTGTTTCCTCTGCCAGAACACATCAAGCAAATACTATAATTTATAGCTTACCCCCCTTATAAATCATGAATCCACACAGGGAAAAAAAAAATCTATTCTGTACATACCTCTCTTCTAGTAATTTTAAGTTTTCCCATGTCCATTAGGCCCTTACAACCTAATCTTGCTCTGCCAATTGCTCCCATGGTGAGATCATTAAGTAAATTATTTAAAGATCAAACAGCCTGCAGTGACAATGGAGTTCCATGTAAGGTAAATGCTTCAAAGCCCCCCCCCCCCCTTCTCAAATTATAGCTCTACAGGCTATTCATCACCTCTGGATGGGGCATGCCCCACCATTACTTGGCTTTTTGCTGCAGGCTAAGGTAGCACCACTAATTGGCCTTTGTAACAAAACTGACCTGTGGACAGGATAAAACTTGTTTGGAGCTTTAGAGACAACAATTATTCAAGGTTAAAAACACATCAATGCCAGAGCTACGTCACTATAATAAGGGTGAATGAATTTCTTCCTCTTGGGTCTTAATGTGAAAGAATGCGTTCATGTTGTGCCCATGCCAAACAAAAGCTCCTTCAGGTAGTTGAACTGGTCCACTTTTCTTTCTTTCCCCCACCCCTTCTTTTTTAGCTCAAGGACAAGTAGGTCTATCATTTTCTTTATTTCTTCAGAGCCCCTCACAGTGAGGGCCCTTTGATCTCTGAGAATAATGGTAGATGGAACAATTTAACTGCTTCATACAGGTGCAGGAGTTTATTTGACAGGTTGTGGCTTTTATTTCTAGCACATTAGCTGCATGCATACAAATGGGCTCTTGACAGACTCAAGCAGGTAGCTCAGAATTTTTAATTTTTTTCTTTTTTTTTTAAAGAAGCCTCAACAAAGCCTGACCACACCTGCAATGATGGCACAATTTGAAATGGCGCATAAATTAAAGACAGGTAAGGCCAATGGCTTCCCTGCTGTGAATGAATTTTTACAACCAGTGAAAACAGCAGGTAGGAGGAAAAGCAGCACACATCAAGTAAACAACAAGGGATCCTGTCACTTGTCTCTCAAATTAGAGAGATCCTATTTGATCTGAGTTATTTTAAAATAAATAGTACCACTAGACAAGATTTTATGTTGTGCTGCCTATAGCAGGATAGAATGCAGGCTAGAAGCAAAATGAGGGAAAACATTTTCAAATTGCATTTACTCAGACCAGCACTTTTTTCCCAAAGGAAGGTTATCTGTATGAATTTTCTTGAATTTACAGTTACATATGATTATGACTAGTAAAATGAAAATCTGCCCTTAGAAGCCTTGTAAAATGCAGGTTTCTTCACTCTTTTTTAGGTTCTTCACTTAAAGTGTCATTGAAATGGCTTGCATAAGGGGATGCTATTCAACAGTGTACCAGCTAATAATAAGTCTGCTAAAGATTGGCTCTTCAGACTGCTACCACTTATGGAAGAAACGTATACATTTTTTGTTTATTTGTCTCCACTCTCCTGTTTTGAACTTGCTTTTTTATCAGTGCATTGCAGTTTTTCACAGAGTATCTTGCCCTCAAAGTCATGAATTCAAGAAAAATAAGGTGTGGGACATTGTGCCAACATAAACAATTTTTTTGGAAGTTTTATAACAAATGCAGTTATGCTAGAGGCAAGATATTTTGTATTGGTTTGGTTTATTTGACACTTGGGAGTATTTATTCCAGACTAACAGTTTTTTATGGCAATGTAAGTGCTTTAGCTTTAGCACTTAATATGTAACACTATAAATGTAAGTGTGACACTGTGCTTAAAATTTTAAACCTCGAGGTTACATTGGCATCACATTACATTGACATGGCTGTGATGGAGGTAAGAGGGGGTCAGAGCTGAGAAAAACCCTCTGTAGTCCTTTCCAGTCTGAACTGGTGCATTCTTAGTGGGTGTTTTGTCACTGCATCAGGTTGGTGATGTGCTGTTTCATAGCTGACGTGTTCCTGTAGGACACATGGCCCATTTATCACCTGCGTGGTAACTAGAGTAGCTATTAAACAGATCTGATGAAAATTACACCTCTGTTTTCTGGGCAATATAATGTTCTCAGAGAGGCAACAGAAGCACAAGATTGCACTTAGGAATAAATACTTAGGATAACTATTAGTCAGTTTAACTGTTTCAAACTTGTGCATAGTGAGTCACGTTCAAATGTAATTAAAATATGTTGGTGATTCTTCAGGTAAACTGGTATTTTACTCCACATAAATGACCCCTTCCAAGAGAGAGCTTGAGCCACACCTAAATGCTTCAGAGGAAAAATCCTAAAGTGAAGGTGGAGGTCCTAGAGTGAATTTTTTGCGGATAGAGGCCAGAATACTGAAATTCTGAATAGAATGAAAACCACAATTTTCTGCTGGCACAATATAAGGCAGTGTAATTATCCTGGGAAGATTTCTGCTGTTGGCACATTTCTAGAGGATTTTTATAATCAGCTGATGGGAGAGGTAGTTTAACTCCACTGTTTTGTTCATTTTTGCATATTGCAGTTCCTGGGTGGGGGGCTCCACATTGCCTCAGTGCTGCAGGTCTCGTGTAGATCAATAACCACCTGCAGAATTACATCTGCTGACAGTCTTCCAAGGAGTTCTGCTGCTCTCAGGCTGGATTGCAAACAGCTGCTGTAGATTGTGCTGACACAGAGCCTGTTGGAGTCGCTTAGGCAGGGAAGATGGCATCCTGTAGCAGGGCAGAAGGAAAGTGTGCTGCCCTGCAGAGCAGAGATCACTGGAGACCTTGCAGCTTCCATGTCACTGTGGGAAATGCTGCTCAAAACCTGACCCAATGCAAGGGCTCCCTGAGGCCAGACCACAGGCTCTGCCGAGGGTCTCACCATGAGATCAGTATCTGCAAACCAACTCAATTCCATATTAAATTCCTTCTTCTCCACCCTGCACCAGCTGTCCTAGGATGCTGACAAACAGGTGCTCCTTGTCCTAGAACAAACAGCCTCCTTCTTTGTTTGTTTGCCTGTTAATTAAAAAGCAAATTCTCATTTGGAAAAAGCCGAACATCAGGATGTGGGAAAGACTGGCTCAGACACAGCAATGAGTCCTGTCGGCAGTCTGCTGCTCTAGCTCCCATACCCAGAGTCCAAGAATAAATGTGAGGTGTTCCAGCTGCCAAAACAGTTTCTGTAAAAAAAAAAAAAAAAAGGAAAATGTGAAATGCATTAATGATCAGATATTTCAGAATAGCTAATGAGAAAAAAACTGAAGACTTACCCTGTTCTTCCTATTTTTCCTTTTCTATTTTAACACTGGGAATAAAATATGCTGCAGCAGATTGTATTTCTGTTAAAGCTCTAACAGGTTTATGACAGTACTAAAACAGTGTAGCAAACATGGAAATTAGCATAAGAGTGTTTTAACATGCATTATTACTCTTGTTTAACAAAAAGTATAATAGCTTTGTATCACCTAGATGTACCTAAGTAGAGACTTTTTTAGTAAGAATTTTCATTTGGATCTGGTGATGGATCAATGAAACTTCATTGCCAAGGATTTTTAATATACAAATCTCAAAGAATTACAGAGTACCTGTTACCTAATATTCAACAGATTAGAAACTGAGCTACAAAAACACAACTTCCAAAATGTGTAATATATTATACATATATTATATGTAATAATATACCAATTGATACACTCTATGATGGACAAGTTAAAACAGGGCTATGATAAATTCTTTCTCAATGCTTCATTTTTTTCAAAGAAGATTGGAACATTAAATCAGTGGTGGTCCAGTGGCAGTGATCAGAGATGACATCAGAATTTTATTTACTTATTCTGGGTTTCTTTGCAAGGGATTAAAAAAGAAAAAAAAAAATCTGCTTCAATGGAGAGCATTTGACCCTTCAGTGGATAAATAATTTACAGCGTGACTTCATGGTTCTTGTAATTGGGCATCTGAAATGGCATCCTTTCTCACTGTGGCATTGACCATGGAAACATCATGATTTGTTCTTGTGGGCCCAGTGTGGGCCCTTGTTCAGTCCTTATGCTGGCTGTGAAAACCATCAGCTGTGACTCACTCTGAAATCACCCTATCTAGGTGATTTCAGCTGGACTGGTGTTCTTCTGCAGTGATGCATGCAGAGAAGAGAATGTATTTCCAGGCAGAAGTGCATTAGGAAATATGGAGAGTAAGTAACTGCACAACCATCTCCAAATAGTTCAACTGCACAATCACATTAAGGGTCATGCTGTAGCTACTGTGGTTCTCAAAAATATGGCAGAGCTGTTTACTGCATCACCTTAATCTGTAATTTTTGCACTTCATCCCAGTGTGGACCCCAGCTGGACAAAGCACTTTGCTGCTCTTCTGGAGGGTCCTACTTTCAGGACAAGAAATAATTGGTCAGTGGGTCTTTTTCATTCTAAATTCTCCATTTCTGCCACTTGATTCACCACAAAGAAAGTAGCTCCAATATACAAGTTTTCACTTTCACTATTAGAGATTGAAAAGTTTTCTTCATTCCATACTTTTCAGAAATCTGGGTTTATTATCCTTTTAAAAGGAAATATTTAAATGAGAGCTGAAATTTCTACTGTCTGTAGCAATTAAATTCTGTAATCTTTGCTTCCTACATGCAATTGAGCATGTAACCATCTCAACCCATAATAAACAAAGCTATATTTGAAGTCACAGAGGAAGTAACACAGAAAGCTGTTCTCAATGACCAATGGAGAATTGTCATGACTTGCCCATCATAAGACTCTGCTCCAAACTGAAATTAATTTCACAGATGAAGGACCAGAACTGGATATGGCACGAATGGTTCCTCTCAAGGAATTAGCTAAAACAGCAAAGACTTTGGCTTGTTAAAGTCTGTATAGCCATACGACGAAGAATTATTAAGGCTATTATTATTTAACTTTCAATGCCTATCAACCATCAATTATATACTCCATTTAGTTACTATACCCAAAGATGACAGGTTAGCATATACAGTGTTTCTTTCAAGCTACTATTTTGCCATCAAATATTAATATAATAATTATGTATTGGTCTAGATTAACTGCATTTAGATTATTAAACAGCACCAAAACAAGATTTTTTTTCTTACTTACACAGAATAACAGAGATTTCTTGTTTTTGCAGCTCCTCAAGTGTCTACTGCATTAAAAGTTGCTGACAATTAAAGTGTAATCAGTTTACCTTTCTCTAGACAATTGCACCTGCACCCACATCACAAACAAAACTGCAGTTTGATATTGCTGACTGAAGTAATGCTCATTTTTTTCTCCTAACAGAGCCATAATAAAAACCCGTCTCTTGTTCCTGAATAGACTTATGGCCTTATACTTGAAAAAATTTATAAAGTCCTGACATTTTGCACATCTCCATGAAATACCATGCATCTCAACTGTTTTAAAAATGATTGAGAACATGACAGGTACTTTCAATGGTCCAGCTAAAAAGTACCAAACATGTGAGATCCTGAAGTTCCTAATTAATGCTGCAATGCTTTTTCTCTTGAGCAGAGACTTTAAAAATTAATTCAAAGTAAATGAAAAGAAATATAACCTTTCCCATGACTTCAAGGGCTTCAAATCTGAGTTCTAACTGAACTTGTAATTTTCCAGATGTGTCAACTTATGTACATATTCAGCCACTTCACAGGACTTTACTTGCTTAATTTCTCAGTTTCTCTTACCTCTCCTGCCTTTGTTTTGATGTGCCAAATAGGTTGATTACTATTTTCCCCATTTGTTTTATTTTTTCCTATATCACAAGCTCCTTTCAAGAGGTTTTCATCTTAGATTAGCTGTGTTGTCAACCTGCTCCTGAAATTTGTCTGTTTTCAGAGCAAGCTGGTCATTCTGGTAGTAGAGGAACACATTCACTGATGGTTCCTAAAGGAAATAAATTTTGGAGTTTGGAATAATCACTACTGGCTATTTTGTGTTTTCAGATGTGCTTTTCACTTGTTCTAGCTACACCTGAATCTTCCTGAATCTTCTTGGGCTCTTAAGTGATCTTCAAAATTTCCTGGTGAAGCTGTAATTGATCATGAGGATGGGATGTAGGAATGCCTACACTACTAAATGGTGAAGTGCATAGAGGGAAGGAGCTTGATTTGCTACAAGCCACTTTGATTCTAGGACCTTGTGACGCTTATGGTTTTACAGGCAATGAAGTTTGCTTTGGCCACTGGTCCCAGTGTGCCCTGTGCCTGCCTAGAGAGCTTGCTGCTGGAGGAGGCTGGCTCTGCCTCTCAGGGAGGTTCCTCTGCATAGTGCCCATGTGTGGGACTCCAACCCTGCTTCCATCAAGGGGGAAATCATCAGTGGCACCTTCCAACATGTGTCACCAGATTCCTGTAGATACAAAGCAAATTTCCACCAAAGAGATCCTCCACCAGCTCACTGGTGTCACTGGTGTAGCTGCGCCCATCAGATCTTCCAGAAAAAAGCCGATGTTAAATTGTAGGATTTTCAGTCCATGTGAAACTTGTCTTTGACAGCATGAAGAAAATTTCAATGGGATAGGATGCCACTGTTTGTGCAGTTTAGGATTTTTCTTTCCCCAGCAGTTGTTTGCGAAGAGCTGGCTGGCCTCAGAGTTCTTTCTGCTCTCCCTTCCAAGTCACCTGCACTAAAGACCACTACAACCCTGACATCCACCCTAAATGTAAAACCAAAACCTAAAAAAGCCAACAGAGCAAATTAAGTGGACTGGTTAGCTTTGTCAAGATTTTATCCCTTCATTAGAACTTGTAAGCAAATTTTAGTCCTTAGTCTTTCACTGCAAATTAAGATTAATTTAAGGTTATTATATGAGCCAAAATATTTTTGGCATCTCCATAAGGAAAGCATTGTATTTTTAAAAAAACTGTTACATTCTTATTTTGCTGTTGGTTTGAGTAGCACTGATCATTTGCTGTGGTGAGCGCAATTATAGGACTAAAATCTTCTATTGCAAGCTGGTTTCTTTAATAAAAACAATTCTATATTATTTACCAGCTCTATAGGTTTATGTAAGTAGCCTATAACAATAAATAGGAGGTGCATTTGCCTGAAATATGGATTTGTCTCTTCTTGGCCTATGAATACAATGGAGCATGATCACTTTCACCCTGCAGACTGAACCATAGCACTGCATAATGCAACTTCAGTCCATTTTGAGATGGCTGCAAATTGTCGTAATTTTTTGTTAGAGTAATGATCAAATATTGATATTTCTTCAGTTCATACAAATGGATAAAACCTTTTTACATGCTACTTAGTCAATATATTCTGATGTTCACATTAGGGATTTGGAAATCAATGTAGTTTTCCTGTTATTCTTTTATGATTAAATCAATTGGGGTTATTTACTCATAGCAGAAAATATGGGTGATTGCAAACCCTACAGCTTGGTGAATTGCTTTCTCACTACTGCTGCCCTGTAATGAGAAGGTACAGGTTCTCTTCAGGGGTTGACTAAACTTGCTTATGTATAGAAACCATTTGAGGTGCAAAAATTGTTTATTATTAAGGGCTAGCAGTGTTTCCTGCCAAGGGCATCTTCGTCATTTGCTTTTACATTAACATTGACAAAGCATGGAAATACTAGAGCCCAGCAGTGCTGATCATATGGGGGAAAATAGCAGATACTTGGCAATTCAGCTTAAACCAGCACACTTTGACTCCCAGGTTAGAGACACCAGCTAAAAGAAAATGGAATAATAATATGGATGCACAACAGGAATTTTGGAAATGTTATTCTTGAGAATCAGACCTATAAAAACATAGAAGGTTGTGCATTAAGCAGATTCATATTAAAACTTCCCATAAAAGCAGCTGCAGCATAATCTGATATTCTAGACTGAGCAAACAGATTTTGTTCATATTTCAGAGACAAGAACAGATATTAATTAGTGCAATGACTTTAAGTAAAGCTAATGGATTGGAATGCAAAACTTATATTTCTGGAGTATAAGTTCCCATGTTAACGTTGTTTCTGTAGGCATCATCCATACGTTTCTTTTGGAAGGGAAGTATGTATGTGTATAGAATGCACGTACTTGGCTATCCCCTTAGTGCATTTAGAGAAAAGCACCTCTCATTCATTACAATTGTCCCAGTTCAAGCTTATTTGATCAACCTAAAACCCAGTCAATCTCAGAATCCCACTATTCTTATTTGTGCAGCTCATTCCAGAACCTCAAGTTTACACCTGATGGAAAAATTTGTCTTTCATCATTTAAGGTACAGAATATATAACCATTCGTAGACAGAATCAGAATTTATCAGAATTTAGAGGCCCAAAAATCCCAAATCAGATTGTCTTGTGAAAAACAATACTTCGAATACATGAAAAATGGAATGCTGGTGGATACATCATACTGCCTTAATTCAATAAGCCTTCTGTAAGTTTAAGCAGCACAAGCTTTCTCCAGGCTTCAGGAGGTAGAGGTGGTCCCTGCCTAGTTTCATATCACTCACATGATTTACTGGATATAGGATGCATATGATAAAGCATAATTTGGGTTTGGGGGAAAAAGGAAAACACAGTATGTTTTAAGCAATGTAACTGCAAAGCCTTTATCAAAATTACTTCTATGGCTGAGTTTTAAACTTCTAAACTCTGGGTCTGTGATGAAAGAACTTATACAGCCTCTTAGTTATGTCAATAAAACTGAATGCATATACAATAAAAGTCAGGTGCCAATTCATATTTCTACATCTTAAACCACACAAACACAAAGGAGAACTACAGAAACATGACAAGGCAGCAGTGTATTTAGATCTCACTTAAAAATCAGTGGAGGTAACTTCTCTTTCTTGACAGCAGCAATCTCATAAATTGAGCTAACTGATGAATGTTTAAAACATATTTCCCCCTTTTTCCTCCTCCTTTGACCCAAACAGGCAAAGATCAAATACTTCTGTGCACAGAGATGCTGAAGCCCATCCTTTCCAAAGCATCATTAGAATGCTGTTTATTCCTGTGGGAACTGGCCATTCAAATCTCATAGTTTTAGGAAATTCACTGAAGTGTGGAAACAAAGTGGGAACAGAACAGGATGGACAAAGAAAACATGTGGATTTTTATGCAGTTTTTGTGTCTAGATTCAGTAGTATTTTAAAGAGCCAGATCTCAAAATCAAAGCCAGCATGAACTTAGACATTGAAGAAATGACTTAAAAGTTTGAGTTTCATGGCTAAAATATTTGAAACGCACAATGAGTGACTGGCAGGATGTGGTGAAGTCTGCTCCCAGAGGCTGCCAGGACCCCTGCCAGCAGCCACAGCCATAATTCAGCTTGGAAGTAGTGAAGGAATACACAGGTGTCAAAATATCTGAATGCTTAAGGATCACTGCAAATATTTTTTAGCAATATGTGACATATGGCATACTGAGCTGATTCCTACCTCGACTTATACAACTGCTAATGTAGTGTAATTCTCTTGACTTCACCATTGCACCAGAAAAGCAGAATGTGTCTCTGGAACCTTTAAAAAATGATGTCAAAATTGACCACATTTCTGGAACAGCACTGCAAAATTCACACCTTCAATAAAGCATCTTTTCACTAATGCAAGTGACTTCTTAATTTCCTGGTCTCTCTCACCTCTGTGAAATGACTCTACATACCCTTACGTCTTGCCTGCAAAAGGAGTCTTCCCCCACTGCTTGTGGCAGGGCATGTTCAGAGTCTGTGTCAGTGGTGAGCTGGAAAAGGGCTGCTTCCCTCCTCACCCAGTACTGTCAGCATCCTCCTTCCTCACCAGCCTGAATCTGGCCAAGCATTTCAAGATAATTTCCAAACCTGGCTGTCCTTCAAGCCATCATCTTGGTACAGGTTGCCAGTAAAATGTCAGTGGCCTGCTCCTTCTGAGTAAGCAATCTTCCTAATGAAAATAGGTCTGAATTAATTATCAAAAATAGTGTTTTGCATATAAGCAATGCAGTTAAATACCTTGACTGAATCTAGTAAATTTTAGGTACAATTTTTTAGGGTGTGACAGGGTCTTTAAAAAGAGTTAGGAAATATTAGTGTTCTGTTATGGCAAGCTCTATTCGCTAATAAAGACAATACTTTACCCCAAAGGTTTTTTCCAGCTGCAGCCCCTGAAGCACAAATGTTGAGCATGTATCACACAGAACTGTCAGTTACTATTGGAGCCAGAAAATTGTTGTTTCAAATGTTACAGTACAGGAAAATCGCCTCTCTGCACTTGCTGCCAAAAAAATGACAGCTTAATTTATGCCATGCTGAAGCTACATTACAGAGCCATTCAGCCTGGCAGTTAAGTACACTCCATGCTCACATCTTTCCCCTGTGCAAGTGCACTGGGGAGAAATACACAGGGACTGTAATAAGGACGATTGGCTGCAGTGTTTTCCATGTCACTGGAACTAAATACAGGTGAAACAGTATCAGCAATAAAATACATCACCTGAACCTCATATGCAAAACACCTCTTGGTGTGTGGATTCACAAATAATCAGGAAGGATGTAGAACAGAAATGTTATGCATGAAGTGGATTATAGAGAGGTTTGCTTATGTCAGACCTCTGGGTTTTATGTTGAAGGGAGGTGCTGAGGTATTACCCATGCCTTTGAAAATTATGTCAGTATCCTTGGTTCAGACCTTCAAAACTTGGCAATGTTTACACTTTCTGAAATTAAAAATCTGACAGTATTAAAGCACAGCCTAGTGTAGATATTTGTCATCAAGGTTTTCAGAAGATATTAAAGATGCACATGACAGCATTTAAAATGAACCATCAGCCAAACAAATCCCATAAAATTATCATCCTAAATGAATCCCAAGATTGCTATGTAGTTTTTTAAGGCCAAAGCTTAATTTTGTTTGACATTGAAACAATGATCATCCATGTAATAGAATGAAAGGAAATTATCATGTCTGTTTTTCTAGTTAGTTTATTCATATTAATCACATGGTAATTATGTCCAGAAAGATTGATCTTAAACAATCTTGCAAATGAAGAATTTTAATTCATTTCATAAACTCATCAAGATCAAAACCAGTTGATCTTGATGTCAGTTAATTTATTTCCCCTCTCCTTCCTTTTCTACTCAATGTTTGTACCAATATTACCATGTACAATATTAATGCTTACCTTTAGAAGGCTTTTGCTAATAGCTAACCCATTCACAGCTGACTGCCTTCACAGCTGTTATCTGAGGTGGAGGGAAGTAAAACAAAAGGCTTCATGAAATGAATCAAATGCTCTGACTGAGATTTTCAAAGCATAAATGGTCTTTGAAGCTACCCATTTTTGTCTGTGGTATGAGATCTACCCACAGTGGGTAGGGCTGTGTATAAAGCCACTGTGGGTGGTTTGAAGAAAAAATTTCTTATTAAATTGGAAATTCTGGATACAACTAAGTAGCTTCAGAATTTATCATAATGTCAGAACAGTGTTGGGCTTAGAACTGGCATGGTTTCTTTGGGGATCTTGTGTCTTGTGTGAACTCATGTCCACATCTATTTTAGCCTGAATGAAATATTTGCCATTCCTGTTTTCATAGAGGTTACAATTTGAGTGAACCCCAAATCAGGCAAAAAAAAAAAAAAAAAAAGTCTAAGTTGAAATGAGGGAAGTGTGGCTGTTGAAATAGAAATAGTCAGAAATTCTCAGAGTCTTTAAACTGAATATTAAATCTTGTTCACTCTGAATCAAATGTTGGGAAGTCTTTCATCCATGTAAGAGGAAGTCTGCCATTTAGTAAGGCAAATCAAAAGGGAAATAACATAATTCCATAATTTGACTTAAATTCCAACTTCAATTTAGTACATTAATACTGAAATATGTTTTAGTCTCTTGAAACCTCTCATGAATTTCTAAATGAAAACCTTTTTAAGCTTCTGTCATGTAAAACCCTATTCACTCCAAATTTGGCATATAGCAAGGTTTTATCTTACAGCACTTGTGCTTTTTTATTTTCTCTCTCTGTGTAAAGCCCTTGAACCAAGTCACTATATTATTTGTGCCTGTTCATAGATTGACACTATCAAATCCATAATCTCTTAACACATATGGGGCATTTCACACAAGGCATTTTCTTTGTGATTAGGAATGCTGTAAATTATCCATTTTCATTTCATGAGAAATAGGTTCCTGTAGTACAAAGGTCTGTGCCAATCCCATTCTTTGGAGAAAGAAACATGACATGCTGTTTCTTAGGAGCCATAACTCATTGCTAGTTCTACCACATAAACAACAGGCTCATCTTTAGCATGTGTATCTCTACTTATATGGACATACACAAATTGTCTATACTTCAGCTGTGTCAGGATTTAGAATATTATTATTGCACATGAAATAGGGGAGGCAATGCACTACTAGAAGAATGAGTTTCACACTCATCAATGATTAATGACCAGTTAATCAGACACTGAATGTGTTCCCTTGTAAAATTAACCAACAAAGACATAGGAAGGTGCAGGGATGTCCCAGGTTTCAACCACATAGCCCTAGTTATTTAGTCTATTAGCAAGAAGAAAGGAGTTTTACAAATGTGGCAGCTGTATTTTACACTTTTTCTCCTGATGAAAAAAAAGCATGCTGATACTGCATCCAAAGTCAACCTGAAATTCCTGGTTTTATAGTATTAGCTAAATTTCCATGATTTAGGTGAAGGATTAGAGCTCTGAGGACCCACTTTGTCCTAGGAATTCTCTGAAATCAATTGAAGCTTGGTCATCAGGAAGAGTCATTATATGAAATATAGCTTTGTAAGAGTGCTTTGGGCTTTCAAATTTCTAATTAGTTAATTCTAAATGTATCCAACACAGTACTATTTAGAGTGAGGTTTCCTAGACTTTATTTTTGTCTGCTAAGATGCCTCAAATCATGTTTCAGTAACAGAAACCCAGATGCATGTGAATGCCTCTCTCTTTTGTATACATCCTAATTAATATTGTGTGGCTGTTACTGTTTGTTCTCTAATCTCACTGCTGTTTCCAGTAAATTATTCTTATTTCAACCTGTGGTCTTTACCTTTTGTGCCCTCTGTTCTCCTCCCCAGCCCACTGCAGGGGGAAGAGGAGGGAAAATGGGGGATCGAGAGAGCAGCAGTGTGGTTTGGAGAGTCTCAGTGAGTTCATGAAATTGCAGAGTACCATTCCTAAAACACAACAATTGGGAAAGCCAGACTTTGCTTTCTTGCCTTGGGTAGACTAATCCTTATTAAATATGAAATGTTAGGATTCCATTGCAAAGGAAATCAATGGCTGTACACACAACTACACCTGTGTGTTGACAGTCTGACTTTTCAAACTTGGAAACATCACCTGAATATTTACACATTCCAGAAGTAATCCTTCAACTGGAGCAGAAAATAGCAGGATATAAGAGAAATCTTGGTTTGATTCTCCCTTTTTATTAGGAATTTCAATCTTTTCTGTGCCTTTCAAACTCAACTACTATTTTCCTGATCTTATTCTTTCAGGAATATTACCGAGAGCCAATATCTCTAATATACCGACCAAAAAAAATAAAATTGTAAGGAAGATGGAAGCTCTGGAAGGCCTTGATTTTGCATGCAAATGACTAAATGAATGCCAAAATGGAAGAAATGCAATCTTCACAAGCTCAGTCTGAAAATGTGTCTTGAGAGAAACAGCGTGCAGCTGTCATTATGGCATCTATTGATTTCTGTAATATCATGTAATTCTTCAAATACTTCAACCAATTTCAATTTTGCTTTAATCTAACAAAATAATTTTTCTAGAAAGGTAATATGAAAATTTCAGGAATGCTCTTACAAATAAGTGTTCCTTTTCTAACCCCAAGAAAGTCTTAAACCACGTAAAACTGTTCATTAATGGAAAAATCCAACAATATAGTCATAATATCCTCTAATAAAAAGGAGCAGATACTGTAATAATAAAAATTCCAGCAATATGTTCATGTATTATTCTTCTTATTGGCTAATGTTTAGAATCATAGAATGTTTTGGGTTGGAGGGCCATCCAAAAATCATCTATTACCAGCTTCTCTACCATGGATAAGATCACCTTGTACTCAATCAGTTTGTTCAGAGCCCCATCCGACCTGGCCTTGAATGCTTCCAGGGATGGGAATCCACCACCTCTCCATGCAACATTTCCAGCACTTGCACACCGTCTGAGTAAAGAATTTCTTCCTTGCTGCTAATCTAAACTTACACTCTTACAGTTTTAAACCATTTTCTCTTGTCCTGTCACTATCTGCCCAGATACCAAGTCTCCCTCCTTTTTATGTAAACCCTCTTGAGGTACTGGAAGGTGCTGTAAGATCTGCTTGGAGCTCTTCTCTGTGCTGTACAGCCCCATCTATCTCTGTCTTTCCTCATAAGAGAGGTGTTCCAGCCCACTGATCATGTTTGTGCCCTAACATTTCTGAACAGCAGCAGGTCAGTGTGAACATCAACACTAGACCCTGTTCCTAAAACTCTACGTGTTTTTTGCCTCCAAGGGTATTAAATTAATGGACAACTGGGACTAACTGTGGTCACATAGGTAAATGTTTACTTGATCAAGCATGCAGGCACCATAAATTTACACATGACCAGAGGCAGACACATATTTTTATTTTTATCATAAATTTATTAAGCCTAGAATATAATGTTTTCAGTATTAAAATGCAAACCTCTAAGTTATATTGTGTATAAATATTTACTTGTCTAATTAAAGAAATGCCATACAGTCAGCTGGAATTTTCCTTCTGTTTTGTCAGCTTGGGAAAAGGTAGAATATAAAATCAAGCCATAGCTCTCACCACCTCTATTTCTGACTGAGCTATCCTCCCTTTGGCAAGGCTGCAGTAGGCTGCTTTTCTTTGGCCCAAGCACAAACAGGATAGATCTAACAGATAAGTTAGATCTAACAGATAAGTTTAGTTGCTTAAAGCCCACGAAGCAGGTATCCAGACACCCTTCTCTGTACAAGTGACAACTGTATTGCAGACAAGGTAATGAAAACCTGCACATTACCTTACTTTCCTCAGTTTCTCCATGATTTGGGATTAGTTACTTCAGTTAAGACCCCCTGGTCCTATCTGGATCCTCAGAAAACACTGATGAAAACTGAAATTCTGGGGTCATATTTGTTGGCTTTTTTTCATAAACTATCTTCATTTACACAAAATTATACTTTTCTTTCTCCTGCTGGAAAAACTGTTAGGTCATCTCAATTTAATGGAAGTATAACTTACATTCTGGGTTTTATTAATCGATTGATATGTGTGTTTTTTCCTGCAAAATTAATTAGTTTTATATCAAAACACTGCATTCAAGCATAGAGTCAGTGTTAACTGCATCAAGATGATACTTTAGC